CTACTACACTACTATAATAAAGTAATATATATATATATATATATATATATATATATATATATATATATATATATATATATATATACTACCGAGTATCGCAGTTTGACTTGTTAGCGAGCCCATTTGGTATTCTCAATTAGGTAAAGTTTTGTAATGAACAAAGATATGATAATTCTGATAACCTTCAAAACAGCTGTAGAGCATTGTGTAAACAAATGATATGTCTTGGAGAAGCTACATGAACCGAATATTTGTCTAAATGTACAAATACACTCTGTCTCGGATCTTACGTATGGTGAGGCTCCATGGCTAGGAATTGGGTTTCCCACGAGGAATAGTCGATTGGGTGGTGGGTGTAGTTTGGGAAACAATCTCGAAATCGACAAACAACTATCTATTATAACTTACATGTGTATACTAGTGAAATTAGACTACGAATGCGCTGTTGAGCAAACCACTGATCGTTGTTCTAGTTTAATCACCGATATTGCATCGTTGTTCTAGTTTAATCACCGATATTGCGACGACTATTTCACCTGTAGGTATTCAGGAACATTCTCGCAAATATTTCTTTAAGCGATCGAAAAATCCGTAACGAAAATTACATAATGATGTGGACTTTATCCTAACTGTCCCCGACGACAAATACAGTTTACATATAACAGTAGGCAAGGCATATAAGACAAGTAGACAAGGGTGCACACGTTTACCTTGACACTAGCGTCCGAGGATGTCCGAAGGTAATTTCTTTGTACACGAGGAAGATCCAGATTTCAGAGAGGAGGGTCGATTTCAGAGACCGCTACCACTCTATTTCGATAGATCTTTCTTATACACCACTACTCAATGAGCTCCCCTCGAGAGTGCTATTAGTAACAACTAACAAGAAGTGGAACTAAAGGTTGATCGGTACGATAACCTCATCACCTACACACGCCGAGTCGTGACGCACAGACGCCTTTCTGAGTGAGGGAAAATGGACCCTACCGGCCTACCCTTGTCAGAGTCACTAGGGTATTTGACTCTGGACCAATAGAACCGCTTGTAAATACACATACACAAACAGAAGCAATATTTTTCATATATTTAGTAGCCTCCTGTTCTATTTTGACTACATATTTAGCATATGTATTTTTTTTGTAAGATTTACAAAACAACCCATTTTGACATAGTAGTAAATAAACTGTTTTTAATTGATCGCTGTTCACATATCGTATACATACATCATGGTTGATTATTCGTCCGTGCGTAGCCTACTATTAGGTCTTTTTGCAGGTTTCATCACATATCAAGGTGCGTACTCTCGTCACTTGATAGAATCACAGTATAGTACTCACAAGTTTACTTCCTTTTCGTGTCGGATTGCTGGTATTGCAAGAATGGCATGTAGAACATCGCCAGAGCTTTCTCACTAGCTTCAGAATAAAATATATATGGTAGCTTATCTGTAGCGCATGCCTATTACTCGCAAGAAGGGATAATAATAAAATCTTTGAACGTCTCAGGTTTGCTATAGCGACTTATGACGTGAAATAAAGGGATAAAGTCGAGGAGAAGGAATAGTCTAATATTCCTCAAGCAGATCATAAGCTTGTCAACAACTGTATGCTCACTGAATATATAGAACATTAGCACATTTTGCATTCAAGTTAATTACATACTGCATTTGTAGTACTCATGCTTGCTTGACCATCTCGTATACACCCATTCACACAACCAACTAGAAATCCCCTCTCGGGGAAAACATTAAAACGGTCATGCATATACATCATATCTGTTTAATGCTCACGTATTGTGCGTGGAGTATTTGTGCTTTTCTAATGTACAAATATACGACCTCATATTGCGAATAGTATTGTAGTTTTGATCGATTGATAGCGCAACATAGGTAAACGTTGATTATTTCACTGAAAAGTAGTCCGTTAATTGTTGCATGCGTTTGCAAAACTTTTCAGTCATATTTTCTGGATTAGCTTATGCATAGTGTATATGCGAGTGAGCAGAGTGTGATTACTGTCTATTTACGTAACCACCTCAGTGGGAGCTGTGTATGTTTAACTCTCAAAATGAATGACGTAAGTCTTATGTGCGTGTGGTAGACTGATAGTCTACTGCTTGTTGCCCTGGGGTATCTTCTCACTTATATAAACGTGATTGTGCCGCTCATTTTTCGTCGAGTACTGTATGTGTCGTCCGTGCCTCTAGAACTTAATCCAACTTAAATAATCATAAATGGCTGTTTGGCTCTTTTACTCCCTCGTTCAGGGCTGAATCTCTACCGGAATCTCGGTGATGTTTGGCTCAACTTCCAGAGCACCTGTGCAATCATCAAGCCAAATGCAGTAGCGAAAGGAAATGTGGGTGCTATTCTTCAAAGGATAGATGATGAGGGGTATCAAATCATCCTCAAGAAGCAGGTATGCGCCGCAGGACCCATCTATTACACACAGAGTGTGGATTGAAGACTCAAAATTTACATGTACCACCGAGTTGGTAATGGTACATATATCATAAAGTATATATTGGTGCTTTGTAGGAGATAGTTGTGTGTAAGAGTGAAAATCAGAATTTATTCACAATGCAGCCTTACTTGTGGTGTGTGGAATACTGTAGATGCGCCCTGCACTTCATTATCTCTAAATACCCTGTTTGTTCAATCTATGCTTGTTATTTTCATGTCCGTGTACCATACTTCGGGACGCCATATATGCGCAATTTATATTGATATTCTTACCCTTTTCGATTCGTCTGGGAATGGCTCTCGAATTCTGTCCGTATATGCGTAGGTGAAGCCTGCATTAAGTCATCGTCATGCTTAATAACATCAAACACAGGGTACTCTTTCTCAAGAAATGGCCGCAAAATTCTACGAAGAGCACGAAACGCAACCCTTTTTTCAAGATCTTGTCGATTTCATGTCTAGGTAGGTGGAAGATTATTCATGTCTGGGCTGGTCTGATATACCCGGCGTATACTTTTGTGTAAGCAAGTTGCTCTGGGCTGTATGAACTACGTTGCTTAGTACGTTCCTTTTGTGAATATTTTCAACTCGCGAATTCGGATTTGTAAATTCATCGAGTTCCTCACATATTTAATTGTGCCTTCTGTTTTATTCGGACACGCACTGTATGCTACCTTTATGACATGACAATTAGCTGACTACTATATAGTTTCGGTGATGATTTATACCTGTGCAGTCTCGAGTTTTAACTACCCATCATAGGTGGTCAAAACCATGGTTCAAGGCACTGCCACAGTCGAAATACTGAAAAGACAGGGAACCGCGTTCATTTTTGGCAACGTTTCTGCATCTGTGCAACAAAGTTTGCTGTCTAGTCTGATTTTTATGTTTCGGCTACATGCTATAGCGGACCCAGTGTAGTCCTCGAATTGCAAAAGAAAAATTCCGTATCGGAATGGAGGAAGCTGATCGGCCCTACAGATCCGGCGGAAGCCAGAAAGGTGGAAATCAACAGCCTAAGGGCTTTGTTTGGTGACGATGTGACAAAGAATGGCTTTCACGGCAGTGCGACAGCTGAAGATGCGGCAAGGGAGCTTGGCTTGCTACTTGGTAGTGCAGGCCGTAAGCTGAAAAGTGTAGATCGAAGATACCACAACTTGGAAGTCCAACGAAAGTTGCAGGAGCAGGATAAAGAGACAGTCGCGAAGTCTACTGCAGAGCCAGAGATTCCCACAGCGAAGGGCGAATTATGAGTAGTCGGTATAGGTGGTAAATAAATAAATTACAATCCAATCTTTCACCACCTTGGGGAAGGATCTGCAGTGAGCCTTGCAAGAGGTTTCAAGACCCCCACAATGTTTTATAGGTGTCCAACCTCTGCTACTCTGTTGATTCTTATCGCGAGCATCCAATCACAGCCCCAAGTTTTGGCGGGCTGGGACCCTACACGTGAAATATCAAAAACATACTCTCGGCCTTCATGTTGCGCAACCTGTGAAGTGTGAACCCTTCATGGAGGCTTGGTCGCTTGATCATACACTGCAACTGACCAGAAGAGGCAACCCAAATCATTGAACGTGAGAAACATTTAAAATTTATTTTATTTTTAAGGAGGTGTTGTAAGCAGGTATTGAATCATCAATACCAGTCGTGTTGGGAGTATTCATAGCGATTTTACTAGTCATCAAATCGTCTGCATCGTAGTTTTGAGCATTTATGCATAACATAACAAACTATATTAGCTTTGGGCAGTATGTTGCATATAATAAAGAATTGTGTTAGTTCCTCAGACCTTAGTTGTATCTCATAACGAGAGCGCAGCAATGAGTGCTTCAATTCAGCATTATAGCTAATGTCCCGATCGGAAATAATGTCAACTACGAACTGCATACCCGACACGAGTTCGATATGTGATAGCGGTTCGAACAACGAAGCGTCATCCTCCAACCCCAATGACCACCAGAATAGCGCTAGCGATGAAAATGAAAAGAGTTTACTTCTTTCCTTAGGCTTGCCCGACGATTTCTTCGCGGCGATTGTTCCCAATTCTCAAGTTGATGGCAGTGCCGTACCTTCATCAGCAGCCCCTGGTTCTGGTATCGTTGTCGGGTACGAGCCATATACTTTGAACGCAATGCTAATAGACGGTGAGCCATATGACTGGGCATCATATCATCCACATATTAGAGGAGTACATTCTTATCCGTTTATGTCAAATTTGCAATTCAGGTCTCTCTTACAAGTGACACAAACAAACCTGGACAATGTATATCATCACAACGATCAATCACACTCTGGTGTGCATCTCACGAGGCCGACTACGCAATCGGACCTCCTGACAAGAACGCATCTGGCCTGGCAGCAACAATCAGAAATAAGATCATCACTTGGCGAATATAGTGACAACGGTCTGCCACCTTTACAGCCATATCCAGGCGCAATTCCGCAACAAGTTGGTATCTATGACAATAGACCGCTTCAGCAACCAGTACGTTGTATGAGTACGCCTCAACTCTACGGCGAGGTACACACCGCATATATGCATCGCGACGTTGACCATGTATCAATCGAGCCTTATATTTCTGAAAATTACTCTTTCGACACGATAAATGTATTGAATATGCTGGCTTGGGATCCACAGAACTCAACACGTACTAACAGCACAGATCCGGAGTCACCGCCCCGAGACGTAGATCTGTGTGCTGATGCCATGATTGATCTGAATACAGCACTGGCAAAGCACCAGTCGTATGATCTGCCGTTTGCAACTAGCCAGCTGAGCGATGTTTCGGATGAGGCGCCCATATTGCCAGCTCAGACAAGATTGCAAGCAAAAAAACGTCAGAGAGCTATACTTCCACGTTTACCCACGTCGTCTGAGCACGAAAAAGGTGCCCGAACATTATCGTTCCCTATGGGGTTGCAACCTCTTGTAGACAAAAGCAAGTCAACTAAACATCGGGAACGTGTAACAATGCACTTGACTCCAGATTCAATCAACACTCGGAAGTTCAGAGGTACACAAACTGGCACTTATATGTCCGGTAGGCGCTGCGAATATACAGTAAATAGCAGAGCACACAAGCTAATCGACGGCAGATCGGATAGTGTGCAATTTAACGGCAGGCCCTTTGCATCACCGCCTACTTTTGATTTTGTAGCTTCCTCGCATCGTAGCCTGAGTTTGCGGCGATCTACATCACTATCTAACGAACCCCCCAGCAACTTCAATCTGGTACGTGACTCATTGGATATGTGCCGTTAAATGTTCAATGATACAATTTTGACAAGTCGCATAACATTGGCAAGCAATCTCTATAAATACATCCATAGCACCTTTAATCGGAATTACATTGCGTATGGTCACCTAGTAATTACTTGATAATTTTTGAATAGACTACAGCAAGCCCATCACCGATGGACACGGGCAGCCCGCAATTTGTCCACCCAGCAGAAACCGAGTATTCTGATGACGAACTCAATGCTAATTCTACAGGTATGTTTTACCTGTTTCTTGATGCATTTGCGTCTGTGTCTGATACATGTCTCGAAGAATGGACGTGAAATCACTATCAGTAGGGATTCATAACAACTACTTAAACGTACGTGAAGCAGGAGAAAGCGTCTCCTGGGAAGCAAATTTCGATGCAATTCAAGAGAAAATCAAGGAGGCCTATAAAACGTAAGTATATCACGTGTCATCTACCCTACTTTAATTCACTTTACTTAGCACTATTCCCGGCTGTATATTTCAGTACGCATAGTCTCAATAGTGCACAACCACTCACACCATATCCTGTATCGTTCCAAACCCAACATAACAAAAGAGCGGACGATATTGTAGACAAAGCAATGAGGAAAAAACATATCCACAAGTACTCCGAAATGAGTCGTCGGGAGCGATTGAAACAGGCGTTCCGTGAATTGCAACAGGCTGTGCCTGACGCTGTGCCCAAGGGCAGGCGCAATCTCAATAGAGGGATAGTTCTACAAGGAGGTCAGCAACGTAATATCTTTATAGTAGATTTTTATTTTTGCTATCCGACAATCGTATGTAGTCTATCCTGTTATGTGCTATTTAACAAGGCGCTCGGTGTGATGATATTCTCCTGATCCCGATTTGCCCACAGCCATCGACTATAAATTTCAATGGAGAGATAGTTCTACAAGTAGGTCTGCAACCTATTATCTTTATAGTAGATTTTTATTTCTCCTATCTGACCTTCGTATGTAGTCCATCCTGTTATGTGCTAATTTGACAAGGCGCATGTGTGTAATGATATTTTCCTGATCTTGATATACCCACAGCCATCGACTATATCAAGGCGATGCACGAGAAGAAAAGTAAACTATTCCTTGACAGGGCTGCAGAGCTCGAAACGAATCGGAATCTGCGCGAGAGGCATGTTTCTTTTCGTACTGATGAGAGCTCGGTTGAACGAACACAGTTTTCAAGTCGATACATTCTTGTGATCGTTGGATCGTTGTTGACTGCTTACCATGGGATTTAATTGGTACACGTATTCGGCGATCTCCCAATCACAAAGCATGCTGTTATTTACGATAACAGGATAAGCACACTGGAAGCTACTGTTCTCAGAACGATAGCTTCTGATTCGTCTACTGGCCCACCCTCTCTGCGTACAATCTCCTCTGCTCCTTGCTTATTATGAAGAAGCAGACCCTTAAAGGTCAAATATCAGACGCAACGAAAGCGAATCTGTAAAGTATCGCCAGCAACAATACCAAGATCTGTACCGAAATATAGATATTTGATACTCTACGAAATGCAGACCTACTTCACTTTAAGAAGCAGAACGTTACAACCATACTGGGTGCGTTGGTTTATAATGCAATAAATTTTGTATTGAAGCCTAAACTAATGAGTATAGAGTCATACTGTAGTGGAATGAACCACATAATATTGGGAAACACGGCATAGAAAGTAGACAATATGTGAATAAGTACCCAAGTCGTTAAAGACGCCTCTACCGTGATTGTTTCTATTAATCAAGCTTAGAGCAAATTTAAGCAAAAAAAATCGTAAATACTTTCCTATTCTATTAAATTCATCGTATGTATTTACTAATATTTCATTCGATTTCTCACTAAAATCTCACACGTCTCGGATCCATACTACGACGTCCGAATAGCTCCCGTTGCTCATAAACTGACAGGCTATGGTCTAAATAAACAAGCTTTGACTCCCTCGCGTACAAATTTTTCACCCAAACATGCACCGTGTATGCAGATATTCCTTGGCAACAGCACCTGCATACCAGGAATTGTCGTGATACAGTCTGATGGTCTCAAACCCCAAGGGTGGTTCATATGCGTTTGTGGACTAGACATCACATCCCACATGACACTCATGGAGTCGCATTGATGCAGCAGGGCTCCCTTTTCGTCGTCGTTGGTCAGTGCCTGGTTTGTTTCACGCATATTTTCTTGAGAAGCCTTTGCAGTTACTTCGGTCTCTGTTGCAGACCTTATTATAGCTTCCGCCTGTTTTCCAGGCAATTCTTCAGAGTGCATATCGATGTTATTATCATCAGCAGGATACACATCCCTCATCAATTTCGTAGCCGACCCACGTATCTCAGCAGCTTCCTTCGTCCTTTTTAACTTACCCAGAGCCGTGATGACCACAGCAAAACCAGGTAACCAAAATGGATTATCCTGTAGCACTTTGTTACCTTCTGCAAGGGCTTCTTGATTATTTTTTAATCTCAAAAGCAGCACAGCGCAGCCACACCTCACTAACGAGCGCACGCGCCGATCGATCAAAAGCCTGTGCAGAATAATGAAACATAGTACAGTATTGAGAAGAGTTTATGTGCTCGTGAATAGCAATTCATGCCGGAATATACATGCACACATACAGAAAAGTTAGGTCGAAGCCGCCTTGAATTTTTATCAAAAAAGTTGGTAGTAGCGAGAAGCAACCAGAGCTAAACGTGGAGTATTCGAGGTGAAAGACAGGCTCACGTACCCTTCAGTCGATAGCAGCTGCTTCAGAAGTGCAACTACTCCGGTTATTTCCTGAGTACTTGCTCCGGGTCCGTAGTCTATTTGGTAATACTCTGTATCAGTGAGGTTTTTCAAGAGATACCATAAGGCGATCTGTCGGTATACTTTAGTTTTCGTGCTTGGTCAAAAGGATATGTGCATATCAAGAGGTCTTCGGCTAAGCGAAGGTACGGCAGACAACATACCGCACGAGACCGCTGTCGCCCATTCAAGAAGCAACCGATGTGCTCTGAGACACGGCGCTCTACTAGTTAAATACAATCCTGTTGAAAATGGCAATCGAGCGAGTTGATCACGTTAGCCCCGGTCGCCAGCAATACATACAGATGTTAAGTCATACACGTATACGCGAGAGCAAGCTGACGCGAGAATATATTTCAGTTACTCTTACCTTTACTAGCTTTTACTATCGTCTCGAGCGCAGCACGTGATTGCCTCATCTGTGCCAGTGCGAGCGCTTTGGACACAAGAGCCTACATACAAGCAGAGATAAAAATGTGAGTCTCCGGGTAAACGTACCAGTGAGTGATTGCCGCTTCAAGTTGCCGACTGAAACCAAAGAAGTATCGCTGTCTAATGATATACATAAATCGTTTTCATTCCTCACAATATGCTTTTAAACATGAAACGTGTCTGTCATGTCAGATAAGCTTTGTCAGTAAACCTATCACGGCACAATCACATACCGTCATTTCGCTCGGCAAATTTTCGAGGATCGAGTCTGCCGCATTAACACATTCTCTATACTTATTTTCGGTGAGCAGCAGCGGGACTCTATGAGGTAATCAGTAAGGATTCGACTTCTTTAGCAAAGGACGATAGTATAGCAGACCAATGGAGCCGCAAGCGTCTTCGGCTATACTTCTACTTGATAAACTGAGGATATCCCTCCGAACTCCTTAGGTATAATCGGATATCGTGTTGGCGTAGACAAATGTACTGATATACAGACATAATCTGATAGTCAATTTAGTCATGGGCAGCGCCGTAAAAGATATATAACAAACACAAACACAAACACAAACACATATATATATATATACATATACACACATATATATATATACATATATATGTATATATATGCATATATACATACATATA